TCTCCCTCCCAAATCCTCCTGTAGAGACTGAAAAGCAGCAGCAGCCACCCGATTCCAAGAACCCATCTACAGTTCAGCCAATATATTTCGTGATAATTTCTGTTCGGATGATTTGAACATTATAAAGACAAAAAGGAGCAAACGAGTTGGCCAAAGCTATGTCACAGACTAATGACAAAGCCAGCTCTACACAGCCCAGGTTTGCTTTCAGTCCTATACTCAAGACACCGCTGCACCACGTTGTTTCTTCATTTTGGTTAACTTTACTGTGATGATACTAAGAGCATACACAGAAAGAACTAAGAAATAATCAGGATTTTTGTTCTCTAAAGAGCAACGGTAGCGCCACATGTGGAAACATTTCAAAAAGAGCACCAAAGAATAAATACCTGACAAAACTGTTGAAATAACTTCTGTAAGAACTACAGAAATATAAGCTAACACCCCTCTATCTTGTACAGATGACCAAGTTTCCTTTATTTTTGTACAAAAAATAGAAAAATATATATTTAAAAATAATGTTGTCAGCACTGTTTAGACTTTTAACGTTAAAACCATTGTTTAAGTGGTTGGCTATAAAGCATTTTAAATAAAAAAACGCAGCAAAATAGCATAAACAAGTTTACAAACACAATGAGGATATTTTTCAAACAAATCCCAACAGCTACAAATAAACTAAAATGATGCTACAACCCATTTCAGTTGTATTTGGACACCATTCTACTACCAGATAAGCTTAATGAAAACTGCTTCTAGAAGTTTACCGAAATTACGCATTCCCACAGGTAGAGATCACACCTGAAACTCTGTTGAATCAGGAACAAAAACAAAAATCTGACTATGAGGGTACCTATCCTACAGTCCTATCAACTCTTTTCAAAGCAGTCTTGTCCTCCAAACTGTCAACACAACAAAGAGGAGAAATACCATCTTCCTTCTGCAGCTCAGGACGGCCTTGGGAACACCTCACTACGGCCACGAGCTGCGTTGCTGCCGGGTCACACCATGTTCTACCATGGTCCTTTAGTCTCCATCTTCATTTGTGCCGCAGAGAAAGAGCAATGGGTTTGTCTTTGAAGATACCTCCAAGAAATTCTCCTTCCCAGTAGTATCTTTCGAAAATCTCTCGGGTTCAGCTACACGGTTTTCTTGTTCCTGGAAAATGCAGCTTGCAGTAACCGATCCTTCAGGCTGGTCTGAAAGCCTAACTGCAGTGTGCATTTGCTTTTCTAATTCTTCTATCAATTTTCCGGGAAGGGATGCAGACTGCAAAGAAACCTTTGATTTTTCACCAGCAACCTCGAACGCCGAAGTGTTTGTGCCCTGCCTTAATCCATTACAGTCAGTAAGTGGAGTTGTCCTCTCCTCTTGAAGCACGGCTTGTGAAGAATTTATTTTCCCATCTTCACTGGTTGAGGACCCTCGCTCGTCTGAATCAGAGCCTTCTGTCTCAGATGATGAAGTACCGCTTGATTCTTCAGAGTCTTCAGAGTCACTTGTCTCCGACTCGGAGGAAAGCAGCTGTTGCTTGGAAACTGCGCCAGCAGCTTTTAACGTGCTCTCTTCCTCTTGTACCAGCACCGCTGCTGCTTCCAGCTCTTCCAGTTCAAATCCTATGTGGGCCTTAGTGAGTGTGGTTTTCTGCAAGGATTCAGAGAGTGCAGCCAACTTCTTTGACCTTTAACAAAGAACAAGATCTATTATTTAACTGTACAATCAGAACTTTCCCATCTGATAACAAGAACAGAAATCTTAAACATTTCCACTGTTCGCTTGGTTTGCAAACAACCTTCTTCTTCAATTATGATTGTAAAAAGTAGATGCTACAGGGAAAAAGAAGTCAAAAGTATTCATAATTACTAGTATTTTGGGTAACTTTTCCCACAAGGCTGGACAATATCCCACTGAAAGTCTTCAGTGACACTTTCAGAAAAGATACCGCTTCTTTGATGGTTCAGCAAAAAAGTTCAGCAGTGCACTGTAAGGGAAAACTGATTCCAGAGCAAACCTTTTCAGGATTGCTGCTTTTCAGCATTGCAAGTATGGGGCTTGCTGGATTAAGTTTATATGCAGCAAAATCATTCTGTTGTACTACCCTTCCAGATATGTCTGTGACATGCAGATGAAGTGATAGAACACAGCTGATCAGGTCCATCTCAGTCATACTCTCCTGCTTTCACCGCTAGCTTAGAGCACCCATGACAGCACGACACGTTCAATACTCTGTCTCTAGACATACTTCACCTTTCACTTGTAACTCAGCCGAAATATAATTCAACAGAAGTATCACGACCATTTAGCTAAACACCTCTAATAAAGCAGGCAGGCTACGTCACCTTCAAATCCTTGGTAGAGCCATACCCACTTCCTCAAGTGTTTTGAAGTCAGCACGTGCTTTACCAGAAAAGAGCATCACAGATTCACAAACAGAACAAAAAGTAAGCGAGTGCCCTGAAATGGAGGGGGGGGGGGGGGG